GATAAATGAGTAGTTATTACTGTGTGTCTGTGACAGTCCAGGGCACAGATGGGAAATCAAATGTTAGTTTTGGACTTGAATTAGGCCACAAAAAACCCATGAGTAAACAGACCCTTAGTGGTCTGAGTCTGGTGTATCTTCTTTATTTCATGTAATCAGATGTGAGAGTGAAATATTACTTTGAACATCTTGATCTTTCACTGTTAAGATGTTTCCTTCATTATAAGGATATATCCTTCTAAAGCATTTCTTATTTTATTCATCCATGCATTCAACCTATATGTATGAATATAAAGTTTTAATTTATAGAAAACTATAAAACCTGTTGAGCTGTTTAGACTTACCAACGGTTGTAATGTTCCTTTAGAATTCCCTTCTTTATCATTCCAAAAATCTTGGTTTTCACTAAGTCATTACGACGAAGACATAAACAACACTTTGATTTATTCAGAATAAGAGCAGGAAGCTGTGCTGTTTCTTTTATGTTGTTGTTTTAGTTAACCAAAGGACTGATTGATGAATATTTGAAACATAAATGAAATGTTAGGATAAAAGTGAGGGTCTAATTGATAAGCTCCACTAAAAGTCTTATAGACAGAGGAGATGGCAAACATTCAGATTGGAGAATTGACCCAGGCCTGGAAAAAACTGAGCTGAGATTTAATAATAATGCACATTTAAATATTAACATTTAAACCTATTTTGTCCCATAAGGCTAAGAAAATACCACAATTCGGACTTTTCCTGAGTTTTTTGGAGGCCTGATTGCGGAGTTTGATTCTGAATGATTCTAATTTCCCTCCTAAGGACCATAACACACACATAATGAACTTAAAAAAGCACTGCCGTTGGATCAAGCCTGCTCAGCAATATATAAGAATAGTCAAACAAAACCTTGTATCACAGAATTTCTTTATATCCTCTACTGTTTTTATAAACCCCTACTTCAAATCTGTCATATATAATTATAAATAAGAATTTATTATTTACACTTTGTATAATGGACTATTAAACTTATAACTTTAATGACTTTAAATCCTCTTCCATATTACAATCATGACCATTATGGATGTTTGGCTGAAGATGTTTCGCTTTAACTTACGAGGAGATGAACTCCTGTTTCTGTGGTTTTAGCAGAAAGCCAGTTTTTTGAGCAAATATCTTGATGTATTTTGCTCCAAAAGTTTAATAAAAAATTATTTTCTGCTCTTTAGTATACAAGAGAACACAAAGCAGAAAAAACAACTTTGAATACTTTCTCAACATGCCTAGCATTAACATTTTATTATAACCATTAAAAGCTAGTACTGGTCAGAATTCATGGTTAACCGATTCTGATTCTTCTTTCAGGCCATAGAGGCAGATTTTATATTTTATATTTTAAACGGCTTTATCTTATAGCAACGTTTAGCACCATCTCAGGCAGCACAGCTAGCATTACAAAAACAGCACCGTCTCAGTGTATTCCTTGAATAAATTTGATCCTTATGTTAATGCTGAGCTTACTAGAATCCTGACATCACTTCCGAATCGGTTTATACTGGATACAGTAAGCCTTCCTGTTTCACTGAAACTCCAAAAGTTCATCATCTGAACTTCTAAAAATGTCAGAGTTTCTATTCTCTAAATAAACAGCATTGATGCTGAAAGTGTTGCTGCCTGTGCAGCCTCGTAGTGTTTAGGTAGACTGCCTCCTATGACTGTAGAGATGTTAAACTGGATCCTGGGCTTTACAAGTTGATCATACCTGACTGAAAACTCACTTTATGGAAATCCCTCAAAATATGGATATTTCTTGTAAAAAAAAAAACTGTAACTAAATTGCTTTGTGCAGAGAACATTTTTTTTTTTTTACAAAAAACTACTAAACTGAAAAATGATAGTAAATCATTGGTGCGGTTGTCACAAAATGAAAATTTCAAACTTGATATTGACGCAAGAAAATCTTTGTAACTCGATACCATGGGCCGGATTTATCAAGATCCAGTTTTGCGTGCAGTAATTTGCGCTCGCAAACTGGAATTTTGTGCGAGGGGCTGAACCATGGTTTGCGGGTGATTTAACAAGAGCGATTGCGTAACTGGTGGCAGGTGCAAAACTGTTGGAGACGCCCTATTTAAATGATGGTTTTGCGCGTTTTGTGGTTTGCGGCAAAGTAGTTTGTAGTTTCTACAAACTAGTGCATTAAGAAATTTAAATCTTACAGTGATATATAAAGAAAAAAACTTTGGCAACCTTTATTCCCTAAGGTGGTATGTGGCTGAATTTCTACTTCACTGCAGTAAAAAAAAAAACAAACAAAAAAAAAACAAACAGGTATTTTGTATTGGCCTGTAGAAAAATGCACATACCAAATGGCTCACAATGGGACTGTGGATGAGATTACGCATCCCCGCAGTATTGGCATGTTGCTCCACAGGCGCAGGGGGAGAACCCCGACCCCGTCGGACAGCGCTTCTGAAAAACGAGATTGGAGATTGGGAGATCCCAGCTCTCGCTGCAACCGTACATTGGAATGACCCAGATGCAAAAAAGTGCAATGATGCAAGGAGTTTTGTGATAGCTGGTATTGCGTGGGTCCTCCTTGTGGCTGGCTCCAAATCCATTCGGAGTTCCCCCAACAGCTCCAAAATGGCAATGCTGGATAAACGATATGTTTTGATGATCGTTTCCTCGTTCATTCCAAAAATATTCACACGGAGTGAAAAAATGCGTTCTCTGCGTCTCCTTTCTTCATTTCCATGTCTCCTTCTTGCGACAATAACCGCTACCATGTGTGCGCAATTACGCATACAGACCATTTGCACCTTCTTTTGAAACATGTTAAATATAGAGTCAGATACCGTTAGCAAAATTGCTTTCAGGTTTGATAAATCACTTTGCGAGTGCTAAATTAATATATTTACATGTTCTCCTCCCACAAGTTGCACTTTTGCGTGTTAACGCCCCATATTGCATATTCATTGCAGAAAAAGTACTATAAGAGGCGCTATTTAGCACGTTTTAAAGACCAAATCCTTTTAGCACGCTGTTGATAGATCAGTTTGTACATTTTTCAGCGTGCGCAGTGAAATAGCTCACGTTTTTATACACGCAAACCTTTGATAGATCCGGCCCCATGAGTATAAAAAAAATAATTAAAAAAAGTGTTAAGGTATCGACACAAAAACTCACCTTTTCCGTTCTCCACATGGGACATGCTTCCCCAACATAATTGGAAAAGCTAGTTTAATAAGTGTGCAAATAAATGCAAAATTAATGCTCTAATTATATCACAACGTGACAGTATTTTAAGATTATCGACAGTATAAGTATTTTAATGTTCAAGTAATCCAGAAATCTGGAATTAACATCATATCGGCACCATGCCCAGTTAGTTTTACGTTGTTTTAGTTTCAATGCTGGAAGCCCTAGCCTCTGGTGGTCCTGCTGAGAAACATTAGAGTGAATTAGTGCCCCCTGCTCTTTTTGTTTCACCAGATTTATTAGCTTTGGAGGGTCATCTCTCTATTGGTGGTCTCTGGTTCGGCTCTCGGGGTGATGAAGGAAACTGATCCAACTAAATTAGTCCTCTCCTATAATTAAAGCTGCAAACTGTCCTGTAGTGCGACGTGGCAAATGGTTAAAAAAGAAAAAGAGAAGAAGGTAGTCAGTCTGCCTTGTGGTTCTGTCCAGGTTTTCCCCTCATGGAAATACATCTGTGGCTGTTTGCAGAAGGAAAGGCGTGTGTTTTGTCAAGGTCAGCAGCAGAGCAGAGACTCCTGGTCCGTCAGCACCCTGAGCGGCTGCTCGCCTGCCACGCTCTGCATCCAATCACCAGCTTTAATGAGAACCGATGCGGCATCTCTACAGCATGGATGTTTATGGCCGGGCTGCCCACAATGCTCATTGTCTCTGCAGAAGCAAAGCGGTGTTATAAACAGACAGAAGGGAGCCTGAAAGCTTCAACTGCAAGGGTCTATATAGATAACATTAGGGTGGGCGGGGTCGCTTTATCTGTTAGGTTTAGTTGATGCTGTGCTTTTATGGGGCTGAGTTTAAGTCGTAGCCTTTCTGACCCTTAGCTTTTTAAATGCTAATTGCTTTTCACTCTGTAATGCGATCCTAACTGGTATCCATCCTATCTGCTGTAGGTGATAGCGTGGCTTTAAGGAGAGCATATTTAAACAGGAAGAAGTGATAATGGGAACCAACTGTTCTTTAACATCCTTTAATCTGGTGTGAGACTTTTCTCACCTTCTGAAGGTCTCACCTCCACAGTTGCAGCTCAGGGTGAAAGTTGACTCTGCTGTGTCTACGCTTTGGTTTGTTTGCAGGAAAAAAGAAGCGTTTGGAACTAATAGGAGCACTTCTGTAAGCAAACAGGTTAAAAAGGTTCTGTGGAAGGTGCAGCTACGGTGTTGAAACACACCCAGCGCTAGTTTATTACGTCACTGTTTATGTTTTGGCCGAGTTCATCTCACAGGAAATTTTTCAGTGACTGAAGCTTTGGCTTAAATCCTAAATGTAGATATTATTTTGTTAAAGAGATATAAAAATTTCAATCAAATACATGAGAAGTCAAAGGAGAAATCAGATTTTTTTCTGTGTTTTTCAAGCTCTTGGAGTATAATTAGCATTTTAAATGATTGTATTTTAAACCTTGTTACATCTATGCTATTATTTAAGGGTTCATCCCTTGTTTCCTTTTTGAGGTTTTCAGATGAAAAGAATGTGGTGGATGTAAGATCTGCTTTGGGATGTACCTTGGACTGGAGCTGTCTGTGTTTTCAGTCACTCTGGAGGCTTCTCTGCTTCAGCTCTTCGTCTCAGCAATCTCCAAACGCCTTCACTTCTTTTTCTGAAATGTTTTCGCCTGTTTCTTCACATAAATACAGATTCCGATTCTCTTAAGGATGCTTTTAGTCCATTTACGTAATTTGTATTGCTCTTTAATTATTATAGCTATTTCCATAGTGTGCTTAGTCCTGTCCTGACTCCTGTCTGATGTGTCTCCACAGTGGGGTGTCCACAGTGGGCCCCCATGCCCTCTCCTGTTATTCCTGCTCGGCCTGCTGAGCCCACGGTCGGGCCTCCTCTGGGCTGCAGCTGAAGCGGGACAGCAGGGACTGGACGGTGGTTTCGGAGCCCGCAGCGGCGGAGGTGGGTCGTCACAGGGCCCAGGACCCCCCCCCTACAGCAGGAGGACAAAAGGCCTGCTCTGTCCTCTGCCACAGGAAAATGAACAGACTGAGCTTCCATAATAACAAAACAATGCAGGACCGCCGCTGCGTCTGTGTCTTTTTGCCCAATGATGACACTCTTAATATTATCGTCAATGTGAGTACATTTCTTTGTTGTTATTTACACATTTTAAGATGTGGATCAAAGTGTTGCCGCTGTTCCCTCTGATTATAGTGTTTATGTCTAGTACTTACAGAAAAAATCTTCTTATTGATTCTAAAAGAATATTGTCAATTAGATAAACGAATTATGACCTAAAAATGATGTTGATGATGTTTTGCTTTTACTTTTAGGTGAAGACTTTGTGCCAGGAACTGTTGGTCCAGGTCTGCGACCTTCTCCGGCTGAAGGACTGTCATCTCTTTGGGCTCAGCGTCATTCAGAGTAGGACTTCTTCTCATCTCACGTTCATCAGCTTTTCTGTTCCATGTTTTTTATGAAAGAGTTAAAAGAAAACATAAGCAGGGTAACTTTACCCCTTCTAGCATTTTATTTGTCTGCTAACAGTCTTGCTCTCTCTGACTGTCTTGCAGCTTGAATAAAAATAAAATAAAATCTCTCATAATGTTATAGGACAGGGGTCCACAAAACAACGGTCTCAGAGTCCCCCCCTGTGAAAAATCTTCATAAGATATATTTAGTATGAGATTTGATTATTAAATTGTGTGTTTTTGTGATTTACTGATAGGGCTGGGTATTTTCGCCAAAGTCCTGAATCGATTCGATTTTGATTCATGCAGTTCTAAACCGATTAATTTCCACTTTCATTATTGTTTTTATAATAATGAAAGTGGTTCAACTGTGTTTCAAAATACTCATGTATTTTTATTTTTTCCTGTCATTAAACACAAAGTGCAAACTTGTAAATCGGACAGTTTAAACATGAGATGTGAACAAAACTGTCTCAAAAGTGCAAACTTGTTTGTGAAAAGTGAAAAAGTGAAGCCTCACTGGAGCGAGCAGACGTGACACAGCAGACATGCATGAGCTGCATTATCTCCACAGAACAAACCATATGTGCAGCGTTGTCTGTAACTGCAGGGTGTTCGCTGCTCAGCCTCCATTTGTTAACCCATTTAGGCCTAAAACGCCTGGAAAAAACACCTTAAAAACCTATGGCCGATTTTAAAAAATACCCCTAAAACCTGAAGTTTTTCTGTAAATTCAGCAACTGTGTCAACGCCTTAATTATTGATATCTCAGCTTCTGTAGCAGATAGAACTCAAAATATATTTTATCTTTGAAATTCTTCCAAAAAAAAATGTGAAAAGCAGTAATCAAAAAAAAAAAAAATTCAACCTTTTATTTTTTCCATATGTGATCATGTCTTCATTGAGAATGCGCAATATAAAACGTTTTCAAAATAAAGAACAAACATTACATAAATAACTATCTGATGATTACTTATTAACAGTATTATTATGCATAATAATGCATATGTCTGTGTTATAAATTGCATACAACCTACCTCCAGATGGCCACAAATCTGTCCCGGGACATATTTTGGGGGAACTGCGTCCTGAAGAGAGGTTTACATACACAGCCCAATAAATGTCTTCATCTCCGTCACAGTCACGGGTGACCACTTTGCCATCTTTGCTCTTGTTGGAGTTTGGTTTGTTTGGTCACTGTACCTATTCGTCTCGGTAACTAGATGCATCCAAAGTTCTTCATTAAAAATATGCTCAAATGCCTGCAGCGGTGTGGCGTCTGCAGGCAAATCAACTTTCACTCCAGGTGTGCGGTTGAAAACACTCCGTGCATTGCGGTGGTAGTTCGATTGGTTCAGCGCGTTCAAAGTCATCATTTCATCTATACCGTCATCAAAGCCGACACACTCCTCAAAATCACTGCCTTCCGACAACTCTTCTCTGTCAAACTCCTCCATGTTTGCTTGAAAAAAACTTCTTTCTTCTTGCTTGACTTATATGCTCTCCCGGCGTCAATGGTAGAATGACGCAACAGCGCCCCCGGCTTGAATGGTAGAAATGCGGTAATGCTTTCCCGGCCTAAATGGGTTAATGTCTTCAGTCAACCTATTGGCTTTATTTGCAGCTGTCTGGCTTAAAGTCATCTTGAAAGCATCTTTCCTGCTCATTTGAATGTGAACGTCACGCGGGTCACTATAAAATTAATCGATCTCATTCCGACATCAATTCTGCAAAAATGTAAAGGAATCGATTCAAAATCGATTAAATAGATTTTTTTACCCAGCCCTATTTACTGATCTGTTTATGTGGTTAATACTTATTATTATTTTGTGCTACATTTATTTATTTCATAAGTCATTTACAGAAATTTCATGATAGAATAATTTAATTTTAGTCCTTCATACATGTCAAGGATCAAATCGTGGTAGGACTCAAACACCTGATCAGAACAATATGGATCAGTTGACTGTTAATTGTCAACTAATCTACTAATCAGCTGGAGCACAAAGGCTCAAAAACATGCACTTTGCTAATATGCATTTTCATTTTAATGAATTCATCAAATACTAGAACAATGATTAGCTGCAACCCTACATCATGATGATTCTAAAGAAGTACCTTGCGAACGCCTACCTGGTGTCTCTTGAACCCCTCATTGGGAAGGCAACAGTGGGGTCGGATGAAGGAGGTTGCAGGAAGGGTTGTTGGTTCAAGCCCTGGCATCGGCATGTGTCTATTGCTTACTGATGGTGGTCAGAGGGACTGGTGGCGCCAGTGTACGGCAGCCTCACTTCTACCAGTGTGCCCCAGGACAGCTGTGGCTGCAATGACTAAATCTATTGTAATGCGCTTCGGTACAGACCATGTATTTTACTTTAGGTACCCTCATGTTATAGAACATATATTAAACACTTTACTATTACAAACACAAGCCAACTGAGACCCTTTATTTTTTAAGCTTAAATTAATCCGTTTCTAATCACCATTCAGTTTATTGTTTGCATCTTTAATTATGAGTTAAAGTTGTGTGAAAAAAGAACAAAACTCCCTGAGTCACTAAAGACAAGTGAGCAACTTTCCCAGGAAATACTTTGTCAGAGCTACCTGTAAATCTTCATCCTGGGAACCTGGAGCAACCTCCTCATGACAGCCTCCCACTGAGCTGCAGGGCGCCACTAGTTTCTGACAGCAATGGGTCTCAGCGAGCCGAGCTGATGGAGCGAGTCACCAAGTTTGCACCGTGGCGAGGAGATAGCTGGTGACAGTTCTGGGGAGCGAGCCGTGGGGGTGGGGGGTCTATTGCAAAAGCAGTGTTTTTCCCTCTGCATGCCTCCTGATGAGCTGATGGTGGCACAGCAGGTCAGCTGAGTGGGAGCCAATGGGTCTGATTGTCAGACATTCTTGGAGTTCTTGTCTGAACAGCATGAAATCCTGAAGGCAAACAGAGGCGTGTCGCCCACGGTCTCAGGACCTGGGTGCACACACTGCTCTGATCCACATATCCCAGGAATCTACTGAAGTTAAAAAGCTTCATACTCATCTATGATGCATAAAAATTGTACATTTGTTTCTCCTGTTTTGGGGGGGCAGAGTTTGAATTTGCAGTGAAAACAGTGGAGCTCAAATCAGGTTTTATGGCATCAAGAGGTACTCAAATGTGTTTAGGTTAAAATTTCAAAATACCTTATGTTTGAAGATTTCATGATAAACTAGGGAGTCCAAATTTAAGTGAAACGAAGGAAGCTGCTTGATTCTGCAGAAAAGGATCCAGTAATAGTATTTTTTACGGGGTTTTTTTCATGTGATTTCAAGCAATTAAAGGTCTTTTTTTTTCTTATTGCCTTATTTAGCAAAGCTGGATAAATGGGTCAAACCACATTTTCTAGATGTTTGACCCATTTTCTGTGAAATTAAGATGAAAGCATGAAAAAAATGTGGATAGATTAAAGATGTATTCTTTGTGTTTCCATTAAAAGATTGATTTAAGTTGGTCTGCGTCGAGCTTTGTAGACCTTGCATTGGTCAGTGGTTCTTTCTGAACAAATATGGGTGAAGAAAAATAATTCTGTGTGCTTTAACGTCCAAAATGTTCCTGAAAGTTGGTGACTGGTTGCAGAAAGTCCTGTAAAAGGGGCTGCTCTTTTACCCTGTTATAAGGCATTTCAGATCAATTAAATGACATCTACAACACCATTAGTTCACTTCCTCCGCGAATGCAAATAAATACTAAATTAAAGACAGAACTTTAGCAATTTAATATTTGGTTAAATGATATTTTCAAATTTCCCCTTTTTTATTTGCCTCTTTCAGCAGATATAGATACAGAAAGAATGAATGTGAATAAATAGAAGAAGGCACTTGTGTCTACAGCTGTAAACAAACCGGCATCATGAGATTGAAAGAGTCAAACTTTCTCCTGTCCCACAGATAATGAACACATCTATATGGCGTTGGATCAGAAGCTGTCCAAATACTGCCCCAAAGAGTGGAAGAGAGAAGCAAGCAAGGTGAGAAATAATGTTCTAAATGACTGTATTGTGGCTGATAAAAAGGCATGGCCTCTTTCAATGTGATTCATTATATATATATATATATATATATATATATATATATATATATATATATATATATATATACCGTAAATTCTCTAATATTGGCCTGTATTCCATTAGCGGCCGGGACTCTAACATTGGCCGGTCTCGCTGTCAGAGGAGGTAAATAATGGCCGGTCTCTAATACAGGCCGGGGCTATAAACGTTTTTTCTGGGCATACCTCAACATTATACTTGTGGTAGTAAGTAACATACAAGTACCACAGTCCTGCGCAGCTGGACGACAGACCCTGACTGCTGCCCGTCTGCGCGAGGAAGAGAACAGACACGCAGCAGAACAGGAGGAGCGCGAGTGATGAGGAGATTAAAGGGAGAGATGAAGAGGAGGAGAAAAACTGAGGAGGAGAATTAAACAGAATTGGAGGATTTTTTTTTTTTTTTTACTTCAAACCAAGCGAGACATGGTAACTGTACTTTTTCAATAAATGAACCTAGTGTTTTATAGGTTCAAATAGACACAAAATCTCATTTTTATTCATTCCACTGGTAGTCTGTTTTGCTCAAATAGCAATAGAGGCCTGTCTCTAATTCTGGCCTCTATCCAATAAAGGCCTGGACCGCAATGCACTTGAGTGAAATAAAGGCCCGGGCCTATATTGGAGAATTTACGGTATATACACTATATTGCCAAAAGTATTTGCTCACCTGCCTTGACTCACATATGAGCTTAAGTGACATCCCGTTCCTAATCCATAGGGTTCAATATGACGTCGGTCCACCCTTTGCAGCTAGAACAGCTTCAACTCTTCTGGGAAGGCTGTCCACAAGGTTTAGGAGTGTGTTTATGGGAATTTTTGACCATTCTTCCAGAAGCGCATTTGTGAGGTCGCACACTGATGTTGGACGAGAAGGCCTGGCTCTCAGTCTCCGCTCTAATTCATCCCAAAGGTGTTCTATCGGGTTGAGGTCAGGACTCTGTGCAGGCCAGTCAAGTTCATCCACACCAGACTCTGTCATCCATGTCTTTATGGACCTTGCTTTGTGCACTGGTGCACAGTCATGTTGGAAGAGGAAGGGGCCAGCTCCAAACTGTTCCCACAAAGTTGGGAGCATGGAATTGTCCAAAATGTCTTGGGATGCTGAAGCATTCAGAGTTCCTTTCACTGGAACTAAGGGGCCAAGCCCAGCTCCTGAAAAACAACCTCACACCATAATCCCCCCTCCAACAAACTTTACACTTGGCACAATGCAGTCAGACAAGTACCGTTCTCCTGGCAACCGCCAAACCCAGACCCGTCCATCAGATTGCCAGATGGAGAAGCGCGATTCGTCACTCCAGAGAACGCGTCTCCACTGCTCTAGAGTCCAGTGGCGGCGTGCTTTACACCACCGCATCCGACGCTTTGCATTGCACTTGGTGATGTATGGCTTGGATGCAGCTGCTCGACCATGGAAACCCATTCCATGAAGCTCTCTGCGCACTGTTCTTGAGCTAATCTGAAGGCCACATGAAGTTTGGAGGTCTGTAGTGATTGACTCTGCAGAAAGTTGGCGACCTCTTCGCACTATGCGCGTCAGCATCCGCTGACCCCGCTCCGTCAGTTTACGTGGCCTACCACTTCGTGGCTGAGTTGCTGTCGTTCCCAAACACTTCCATTTTCTTATAATACAGCTGACAGTTGACTGTGGAATATTTAGGAGCGAGGAAATTTCACGACTGGATTTGTTGCACAGGTGGCATCCTATCACAGTTCCACGCTGGAATTCACTGAGCTCCTGAGAGCGACCCATTCTTTCACAAATGTTTGTAAAAACAGTCTGCATGCCTAGGTGCTTGAATTTATACACCTGTGGCCATGGAAGTGATTGGAACACCTGATTCCAATAATTTGGATGGGTGAGCAAATACTTTTGGCAATATAGTGTATATATATATATATATATATATATATATATATATATATATTAGGGGTGGAACGGTTCACAAAATACACCGAAATCCCATTAAATTAATGGAATTAATGAAAAAATCCCCAAAAATTAATGAATTGTAATTATTTTTAAACCCTGGATCATTTCCGTATGTTTTGCTGCTTTGAATTTAATCATCTGGCTCATGCTCTCTACCATCTCCAAGGAACTCAGAGCGGAGCGGACGGGAGCCACAGTGGAGGCTGTAGGCTTTGCTTTGAGCAGCCGGTCTGGAGCGCAGCGGGGTGGAGCGCTGACGGAGGATGTGGGATTTCGGGGTTAGCCTGACATGTTGGTCATGTTGCTGTTAGCATAAACAAAACTTGCACACTGTTGCACTTCTATCCACAGCTTTCTTTCCGCCGTCATCGTAGGTCACTCTAAATGCAAAGTGATCCCATACAGCAGACCTATAAAGTGCTGCTGGCGCGTCTTCCAACTCCTGTTCTTTCCCACTCGCCATACCCACACAATTCTCCACAACAACTGATTTTTTTCTGCTACACCCGGCTACGCTGCTTCGCTTTTTCTTCTTCTTGTTTACTGCTGGTGGTTGGCTTTGGTCGCAGTACCACCACCTTCTGCTCTGGAGTGTAAACGCTTCGCCTATGAGAAAAAGGAGCAGCGCATGAACCGAACCGAGACGGTCGAACCGAACGATTCTGACGGTTTTCATAAATCGTCCCATCCCTAATATATATATATATATATATATAATGTTTTGCTAACACAAAAAAAATAAAGGTATGTAGAAATATGTAGATGTGGTATTAATTTGTGGGAAAATGTCAGACAAACCACTAATAAAGTTCTTTCCTGAAATAGATCAATGTCTGCATAACTTTTAAAATTTCTTATATTTAGCTGTAATTGTTGAAGGAAGTGTTTCATATTGTTTCCAGGGTATTGACCAGTTCGGGCCTCCAATGATCATTCACTTCAGAGCTCAGTATTATGTGGAAAATGGGAGATTGATCAGGTTGGTGAAGCTTCTGAACATTGTTCTCATTAATCAACGAACTGATTAACGTCTGATGCTGATAGTGATGCTCTGTGTGCCGCGCAGCGACCGCGTAGCCAGGTACTACTACTACTGGCACCTGAGGAAACAGGTGCTGCTCTCCCAGTGCATCCAAAGAGAGGAGGCCTACTTCCTCCTGGCAGCCTTCGCGCTCCAGGCCGACCTCGGGAATTTTAAACGCAACAAGCACTTTGGGAAGTACTTTGAACCTGAAGCCTACTTCCCCCAATGGGTGAGTATAATCAGATCAGCATCGCAATGGATGACTTTTCACATTTTAATTCTTAAATTTTAATATTTATTGAATCAATAAATCATGTTTTATTTTTTAGATTGTAATTATTTCCCATACATTGATCCAAAAAATAGAGGCAGTTAAAGGTATTTATGAGGGCTTTTTTTGATGGACCATTCCTGCCATCATAACAGAGACCCACAAAAATGAAAAAATAATGGATCTTTTTCCACTTTATTTTTATGGATTTTTTTACAGGTGTACAACAAGAACATGACAATGATTAATGTCCTTTAGTGAAGGATTATTAGCACTTGTCACAAAAAAACAGAAAAAAACATTAGACAAACAATATATAATAATATATAAAAATAATTTGTTCATTTACACTTTAGACATACTGAAAGTAAAAAAAAACACTTTATGGAGTTTCAACCAGTCAATTAGAAGTGTCCACACCTTTATTTATGACAAATGGGGTAAAGAAACAAAAAAAGGGGGGGATGGGGGTTCTTTATGGCTTCAAATGTTCTAAAATGGGTTTCCAAATTTTGTAAGATTTTTGAGGACAGTTTATTAAATCAAATCTAATTTCTCTATGTGCAGAATTCCTGTAAATTCCTCGATCCAAGATACAAAATTAGTTGGTCTGTCAGCCTTCCACTGCTTCAATATGCATCTTTTGGCAATCATCATGCCATAGGAGACCACTGCTCTTACACCACGACCCAATTTGTCCGAGACGCCAAAGAGGGCCGTTTCTGGATTGGGTTTTATGTTAACTTTAAGGGCGCGAGAGTACCATTCAAATATTGAGGTCCAGAAACGTTGAATATTTGGACAAAGCCAAAATTGAGGTGCTAATGTGCTGTCCCATATTTTACATCTGTCACAGAGAGGCGATGTTTGTGGGAAAATTTAGTTGTGAAAAAATAATTGATCTAATAAAAATCCTTTCTAGGGCAGAAAAATAGCCGTTCTGTTAAAATCAAAATGATCAAAATAAGTGATTCATCAATGAATCAGTTAGACAAATATATTCATATTTCATATCTAGTGTTTTAAATTACTTCTGTGCTGAATGTTTCTTTTAATTTAAATTATGAATTCTTAATAATAATGACAGAATTGCTTCTTTTTTTTATTTGAATTGTATTGAAATGGAAAGATGGAAAAGAATGAAGGCAAAGGATTTCTGACCTTTCTGACCTCTTTCTAGAAGCACTTCTTATTGCATTTTTGGACAATAATTGTACCAATTTCTCTTTACAAATGATCTCAAACATTGCAAAAACTGATCTAGAAAGAAGTAAAATAAAATCAATTCCCCCCACCCTTATAATAAGATATAATGGTCTTGAAATAGGATGATGATAGAGTTGTTGTTGTCACGATTTGGTGTTGGATTGAGGACCCAAAAGCAGAGGAAGGTAGGCAGAGGTGAATTTAGGTGGGTTTAATGAGGTTCACAGGTACGGAGGCAGGAATCAAAAATCCAACAAAAATAACAAACAAACCAGAACCCAGGAGACATCAGGGGAAACCAAACACTAGGAGCCAGGGAGAGACGAGGTAAGCAGACAGATGTTAGACGAGGATCCAGCAAACAGGAACTGAAGAGGGAGGGCTTTTAAAGGGGACAGAGACAAAGAGAGGGCTAACGAGGGGATTGGAGACAGGTGAGGACAGAGCAGAAAACAGAGCTAGGGAAAGAGGACACAAGAGGGCAGCAGAGGACAACAAATGGAAAACCTGGAAGACAGGAACTAACAAGAAAACAACAAAATAATAATTAAACACTAAAACAAGGAGCAAAGTAAAACTGAATACTCTAAATAAACATAACAAAACCAAGACTGTGACAGTTGTTTCTTATTTCAAACATAAATCCTCTTATTCCATTGGCAAACTCTCTTACTTAACTGCACAGATCAAGTGAATATACACAAATATGAGAAAAAAAAATGTTAATTAGATCTAATTTGTTTGTAATTTTCTAGTTTTAAAGCAGTTTCTATGCTGGGTTTAGGGCTGTGCTTTGATGAACATCCTGACAGATGGATATGCTCTGATTTAAATGTTACTTTGCTGTTCTAGCTGACTGTCTGGGTTCTTCTCCTGCTTGAACGTCAGTCTTCAACCACCTTAAATCCTTTGCTGCTCTGACAGGTTTCCCTATTGACCTGCTCCACATTTAGAGAGCGAATCTCTCCAAGCACCGTGTTTCATGTTGTGGACGAGGAGTCAAGGATGCTGCATCATCTTTTTCCACCACAATGTGAAGGTCAAGGGATAGATTGTTTTCTAATCAGACCAGAGCACCACCTTTGTTCATCTGTTGTCTTGCTGACAGATTCTCCCACCTGAGTTGCGGATCGCTGGAGCTCCTCCATGGGCCTCTTGGCTGCTTCTCTGATCAATGATCTCCTTTACTGACATTAAGATTAAACTTTAGAGCCTTTTAAACATATAAACCAACAATAAATACCTCCAACAAGGTGCATTAATATGTTGCTCTGCATTTCATGTATACTTTTATGTATTTTTCTTCAGTTCTGATGTTTAAATTAAAAGGTGAACTTAATGATACACAGAAACTGTCTTGTTTTTTGTAATATTATTAAAGGAATAATAAAAACAGTTGTAGTATCTAGCGGGAGTAGAGCTTTAGGAAGTGTCCCGACCCTTTAGTCTGAACGATATGAAGCCACTATATCTATAAACAATGCCAATAAAAGATGATTCTGTTACATCTATTTAAACCAGCAGCCTCATGGAAACTGGGAGTTCTAGAGTATTTTTATCCCTGAAAGTTGCACAGAGCTCTTTTTTAGTGTGAGCTAAAACATCTATTCTGGTAACATGGCTCCTCTGACAGCCACACCCGTCTGATTGCCCTCCACTTCCTGTGATTAGGCCCCTGCTTCTTTATCGTGGTGCAAACCGCTGCTTACAGGAAATAGTTGGAATCTTAACAATGTACTCTGCCCCTGAAGCAAATCTACTGATTTACTCGGTGCTTACAAAGATTACTTGGTTACAGGACTGCCCAAGTAACTGTTTCTGGCTTATGTTCAGTGTTCGGCATCTGTACGTCCAGTTTCATCCCCCCCCTCTGTAATATGCCTGTACCACTGCAGACTGATGGCTCCTTCTGCCTCTCTCCCTGCTCAGGTGATAGCCAAGCGTGGCAGGGAATACATCCTGAGGCATATTCCTAACATGCACAAAGACCAGTTTGCACTCACAGCTTCAGAGGCGCACCTCAAGTACATTAAAGAGTGTGCTCAGCTAGACGATGTCACAGTGCACTACTACAGGCTGTACAAGGTGAGGGATTCAGCGTTTCTAACTTGTGTCACGTGATCGGACATGTAATCGCACTTTGCTGGAGTTCATGTTTTTGTTTTACTATCCTGCTTACCTGTTTTATTCTCTCTCAGGATAAAAAAGAAGTTGAAGCGTCTCTGACGTTGGGCCTCACTCTACGTGGGATCCAGATATTTCAGGTAAACATCCGTAGCATGTGCAGTAGGGATGTCTCTGCTGTTGTTATGGCCAAACATACTTTGCAAAAGTATTCATGTTCCTTCATTATTGGATTTTCTCCACATTACAGTCATAAATATTCTTATAAGTCTCATAAGTCTTTACTGGAATTCAAGACCCCTGGTTTGGATCGAAGCACAGTAGATGGATAGATTTACTTAAATAATGGGAATCTTTTACAAAACCAATGTTTACAAATGCTCTCCATTCACTTTAATAGATATTTTTGATATTTTTCCTTGAAAAAATGGCATAAGCTTTGATCTGTGAATGTAACAAATGTGGGAGAAACATCGTGCAGCTGCAGCAGCAGCAAAACGTCCTCCATTCCTCGAGGGCTGTTGTCCTGCAACTTTAAAACGTGTTTCAGGCAGGGTTCCCGCCGGTCCTTAAAAAGTCTTAAAAGGCATTGAATCCTTCAAAATAAAACTAAGGCCTTAATTGGTATTAAAATGTCTTAAATCAGTCTTTCGTAGGTCTTAATTTTTAAAACCTCATAAAAAGGATTATTTTTATTATGATTTATTTGTGTAATCTAAATAAAACATTAAAACTGACCTTTTTTTTTATTTAAAAAAAATTATCGCTCGCCATTATTGGTTCCGTTTTCTCCATGGCTAAAACCAGGGAACATACATGAGGCTCAGTGGATTTAGTGCAAGAAGCGATTCAAGCTCAGAACGATGGGAATTAAGGCAGTGGAGTCGCACATTTAGTTCCACCCTTGTCTCTGCAACGCCTCCACTTATCACCAAATCAAACATACTAAGAAAACCATACAAAGAAAAATAGCTGCTAAAAAGACTTAGCACTGGTTATGTTGGGGCTTTAAAACTGATTTGTTTTGTTTCCTGCTAAAACAAAGTTTGTGAATTCAGTTAAATAATTGTTAAAATATATCTGTCATTTGTGTGTTTTTAGCTTTCTTCCTGTATGGGAAGCTTTTCAACATTTGAAACATTAGTGCAGTGGTTTATGTTAAAATAAACCTTTGGGTTAAGTCGTCGCAAGCAGGTTTTTCTTATGTTTCTTGTGAATTTGGTCTTAAAGGTACACTATGCAACCGGTGTTGATTTTCAAGCGAGGCTCCCCCCAGAGGGCGAAAGTAAAAGTGCACTGTCGTAAATATGCACAGCTGTTCTCCTCGTTTCTCCGTCAAGCCAGGCGCGGTTGTTTTGAGCTTAGCAGACAGGCGAATGCAACGAATGACTTATGCTGTGTTCACACTGGACGCAGCAGGCGCGACAGAAGCAGCGAGTTTACATGCAAAGTCAATGGTTGACGCGCGTCAAGGCGCAGCAAAAGGTCCCGCAAAGCGTTTTGAGCAGCAGGCGCAGCGCGTCTGAGCAGCTGAAGCAGCGCGTCGGGCGCGTTTAAGCATCTGACGCGCGTGACGTGTCGCAAACGCGCTGCTGCTCGAGATGGAAAAATTTAACTTTTGCTGCTCGGCGCGGCGCGTCAACCAATCAGAGAAGCTGATCTGGGAGCTGGCAGGGAGAGAGACACAGCACTGATGATCAGAGCGCTGTGATCACTTCTCTGAAACAGTTTATTGACGCATAAATTAACTTAAAATGCAGAAATCTGCCGGCAGAATATGTTCGCTTTTATTTAGTTTGGATTATTTAGATGAAAAACACCTACCAGCTGCCGCGGTGAACCGCGAGGAGGCGACCCGGCCAGAGGCTGCTGATGAAGGGATTCCTACTGGTATGTACACCGCTGGTATGTGGGGGTCTGAGCGGCTCCGACAGAAAAAATATTGGAAGGCAGGATGATAATCTGGATGAACTGACTGCACTGATTACGTTTTCAGGTGTATTTTCTCACTTAAAAACATATTAAAACTACTTTATTCCCACTGATCACAGAAAATATAGCGGCAAGGCAGAGAAAGGATAGTGAAGCTCCGCCCAACGCGCATCAGATCCACTTTTGCACCGCGCAGCCAGAGCAGCAAAGCTGCTTCAGCCGCGCGTCAGAACTAACTGGTACAAGCAGTAAAAATGAAGCAGCAGACGCGATTTTGCTGCTTTTGCTGCGTCCGATGTGAACGTAGCATAACTGCACAAAGATCGCCACTGTGCTAGCAACGAGAATGCTTTTAACTGCGGGCGTGTAGCAGTTCTCGCCGTAAAGCAAGACTGACTCTCGCGAGACTTCTGAGCCTGTGGGTGCGGGTCGGTGCTCCTGCAATTGCAAGTGCAGTATTTCCCCCACAGACCACCAGGGCGGCCGAGAAAACCTTTGTTCAACCTGAAATGACTCATTTAATCATCCAAAACGATATGGAACACATTAATTAACTGAAAAATGTTGCATAGTGTGCCTTTAAATTTTTATTTCAAGTGGCATTAAAAAGCCTTAAAAAGTCTTGAATTTAACTCGCCTTATGCTGTGGGAACCCTGTCAGGTCCAGAACAGCGAAATCAAGCAGCTGAATTATTAAATCCCCAGGATGCAGGTTCTCCAGGGTCCTGGAAGTCATTGAATTATTTGATTCAGGTGTATGGAGGAGGGACATATCTAAAAGTCTCTTAAAGACTGGAGGCACCTATCCCTGTTCTTTAACAGAGATGCCTGAATAAAAAATGCAAGCCGCACTTTTTAGATTTTATCTGGTAAAACAAAACAATAAAAGCTTCTTATTGTTTTCTTTCCACTTCTCATCGTCTCTGGTGTGCTTTGTCTAACACAAAAATTGTTGAAGCACAATGAAGTTTGCAGTGGTGAGGAATTTAAACTGGAACAGAGGCAGCATAGTTTAACAGGAGCTTGTTCCACAAAGTTGGACCTCCTCTGGTTGCAGCAATGTTGTCCTTATTTCTCTGTTGGATTTAATCCTCACAACTCTTCTTCCTTCTTCACTGCAGAACGTCGGCTCTGTGAGGCAGCTGCTATACGACTTCCCCTGGACCAATGTGGGCAAACTGGTTTTTGTGGTGAGTGGAATGAGGGATAGCAGCAGGAAGTTCAGGGACAAATTCACAGATTTAGGTTTTGTTCTTAAACTAACCCCAGCACTGATTAAAAAAAAAAACTGCATCCGCTGAGCTCATTGCAATCCGATTTTGAAGCCAAGCTCTTGCTTAGGGTTGGGAAAAAATTTTACGCAAGACTTTGTTTCCCCCAAAACTGTTGCTTTATCCTAGTCTGCAAGTCCTCTGGAACTAATCAGGGATCTTTCAAAGACTTTCCTCACACACACGCAGACACACCCAGAGCTCCGTATACTGCATGCATATTCTATGATCAACAGTTTCTGCCTCTTGCCTCATTGATTTTTTTTTATTTTCCCTGTGCCTTTACTTAAATCTCCTCATCTCTGCTCTGAGTCAGCTCGTCGTTTAGCTGAGAGCAGCATAGGTTTAGTGTTATCACAGGGAGCCAGAGAAGCTCACTGTATATCTGTTTCCCTCTGAGGACCTCAGCGCTCCTGCCAGCTCGCTGTTAATCACCATCCACAGAGGTTCACACCGTGTATTCACACTGCTGCAAAAAGATGCTGTTTAATTTCAAATGTGGGGAAATTAAAAGCCTGCAAGGTATCGTTTTTTTCTTGTTTTTTTTTAATGGATCCATGACTGTCTTTGAGGTGTTTTTGCTTTTGTGATGTTCTAAATACAGCCATCCTGTTTTCCTCCGTATTTTGTTGTTTTGATGGTTTCTCCTGGTCGCCTGTCTGGAGCGGCGTGAAAGTAGGCAGTGGCGTGGCTGTGGTTTCACCGTGGATCCAAATGGTTTCTAGCCATCCCGTCCCATCCTTCTCCAGAATAGCAAGCTCTCAGCTTCACCCCACCCACCAGTTATGTCATCCAGCAGCTACCGCCGTCAGCGGGTGGGGCTGGGAGGAGGGGGAGGAGAGGGACAGGGAGTTTAATGAAGACCAGATGTTGTGATGGTTTGAGGGAAGGATTCTGGATTCCAGTCTTTGGGTTTTAAAATGAACTTTGGGGTCAAACCTTGCAGGAAGGTTTCTGGTTTATTTCCCTGACAGCATCTTACGAGTTCAGTTACTTTCCTCTGAAAACAAGCACAAAGTCTTAACCTGATAATTAACAGGGTTGGGTTTAACCTTGTAATGAGGCTTGGATATCTGGAAGACTTGTTTTCATGTCTTAATCACCACTGATCTGTTCATTCATGCAGAGACAAACTAGTTCATAACTGGATCATATATATGGTGTTTATTCTAGGGATGGAACGGTTTATGAAAACCGTCCGAAGCGTTCGGTTCGACTGTCTCGGTTCGGTTCGCGTGTGTTTCGTTCGGTTCATGCGCTGCTCCTTTTTCTCATAGGCGAAGCGTTTACACTCCAGAGCAGAAGGTGGCGGTACTGCGACCAAAGCCAACCACCAGTAGTAAACAAGAAGAAGAAGAAGAAGAAGAAGAAGAAGAGAAGCAGCGTAGCCGGGTGTAGCAGAAAAAAATCAGTTGTTGTGGAGAATTGTGTGGGTATGGCAAGTGGGAAAGAACAGGAGTTGGAAGACGCGCCAGCAGCACTTTATAGGTCTGCTGTATGGGACCACTTTGCATTTAGAGTGACCTACGATGACGGCGGAAAGAAAGCTGTGGATAAAAGTGCAACAGTGTGCGAGCATTGTGCAACACGTTTTGTTTATGCTAACAGCAACACGACCAACATGTCATGCTAACCCCGAAATCCCTCATACTCCGTCAGCGCTCCGCCCCGCTGCGCTCCAGACCGGCTGCTCAAAGCAAAGTCTACAGCCCCCATTGTGGCTCCCGTCCGCTCCGCTCTGAGTTCCTTGGAGATCGTAGAGGGCATGCGCCAGATGATTAAATTCAAAGCAGCAAAACATGTGGAAATGATCCATGGTTTCCGTGAATCATTTAAAATAATTACAATTCATTAATTTTTTGGGATTTTTTCATTAATTTCATTCATTTTTATGGGATTTCGGGGTAACAATCAACACATACCGAACCGAACTGAAAACTGTGACCACGAAACCGTGAATTGAACCGAACCGTGAATTTTGTGAACCGTTCCACCCCTTATTTATTCATTCATTACTTTACGCTTATCCCTGCTGGGATCGCATGGGGTGCTGGTCAGCTGGTCCAGCTGTCAGTGGGCGAGAGATGGGGTAAAACCCTGGACAGGTGGCCATCGCAGGGCAACACAGAGGCTAACAACCATTGACACTCACACCTAAGGAGAATGTAGAGAAGTCAATGAACCTAACAGTCAGAGTACCCAGAGAGAACCCACACATGCACAGGGAGAACATGACCCTGAATCGAACCCGGAACCTGCCAGGCAGCAGCGCCACCCACTGTGCCCCACTCTGCATCCCTATACACACACACCCTTTAATAAAGCTTTGATAAATATTATCATTTTGGTGAAGTTGGGCTTTAGGTTGTATTTTGTAAAGGTAAATCTCTCATATTAACCTGAGGTTATTTTGTTTGGATGACAAACTCTGGATATTACAGATTTACGTAGGTTAGCTGGTTGGAAAGAAAGACAATATATTCATTTTGGGCTTTAGTTTTTTGTTTATTTAATTATTTTATGTGTGTGCGTGTTAAAAGTGGATGTGTTTTATTATTAAAAACATTTCTAAGTGCAGTGTAAATTAGTTTGTGGATTAATTTATGACACACTTTGAATCGCCAATAATCTGCTAAATGTGCTGCATGTTTAGAAGCTAAAACTAGGAAAGTACAAAAGAGACGGTTAAAAACATTTCAATCGATAAAAAAATGAAAATAGAGTAACAGAAACAAAAAGCCTCTGGTTGTGCCGAAAGCCAAGGGTTACAAAAAGTCTCAAATAAAATCGTACATCTCACCTGTTGACCAACGTCTCCTCACATACGTCTAATTTATAGCTCTGTTTCTAACATGGCGGATGTTCGAAGTCGTTTTGCCAAATCCATCCCAACACCAGTTCTGCTGTGTTTGGGATCACTGCCTTTTTATTTTTAACTATCTAGCTGTCGATTTGAACTAAAACAGGATAATCATTTCTTTATTTTATGCTCACTCAGCATGCTACTACCACCACCATGCATGACAGTTTTTATTTTTATTTATTTATTATTTTTTTTTAAGTTTTAACAGCTTTATGTAAACATCAACAAAAACAAAGAAAAACAACCCACCCCAAATCAACAAGGAGCACTGCAGTGTTCACATAAAAGAGAAAAACAAAAAACAAAAAAAACAAAAAACATACAAAATACAGGCAGACATGGTTCAAAGTAGTCCATACTGTCGGACAGCCAAGTGTGTGATATATTGAATATAAAAAAGAAAAAGAAATCGAAGAGAGAAAACTAAATTTACAGTTTCTGTAAGAAAGATTGCACCGGGTCCCAGATCCTCCGGAATTTGTCCGACTTTTGATGAAGGTCATGAGTCAGTTTTTCAACTGAGACAATAGCAGACATTTGTGATAACCACATATAGGTAGGGGCTGTAGGGGCTTGTGATGCTGACCACCTCAGTAATATACATTTCTTAGCCAGAAATAAGAGAATTACAAGCAAATGTTTAGTATCTGCATTAAAGAGAATCCCTGAAGTATGATTAAAAAGACAAAAGGAGGGAGTTAGTGAGAACCGTTTACCAATAATCTCTTGTATCATCAGATAAACTGCCTTCCAGAAGATTTAAATATAATTGCAAGACCAAAATAAATGAATAAATGTGCCCTTATGTATTCTACATTTATGACAGATCTGCAGCATCAGGAAACATTTTCCGAAGGCGAACAGGTGTATAATATGTTCGATAAAAGAATTTAAAGTTCTGCTCATGTATAGAGAGCGAAGTGCAATTAGGGAAAACCACATCACAGATTTCCTCCCAATTTGCTGGATTAAACTTGACAGTTTTAAAGGCCCCACTGGGTTTTACATGTCTGTACCTTTAAATGTCCTGTGTCAAATTTAAAGCCATTTTCTTTCTATAGTTTGGTTAAAGTTGCTGGCCACCAGCCATGGATCTGTTTTTTTAAGGTTAGTGCACGACTTCTCCATAGGATTAAAGTTAAAACCTTAGGAAGGCCAATCAGGAATCTTAATATAATCCATCATCTGATCAGATTCAGCCCAGGAACTTTTTGGCTACATTGAAAGGAGGCGTGTTTGCAGTAGTTAAGATGAAGCTTCCACACACTCTTCCAGCTGTAAAGCATGGTAATGTGATGCTGAGTGTGTTTCTGTCATGATGGGTTTACTCTGAGTGAAGCCCAAGATGCAGAACACATACAGAGGCACTGGTAAAAAGTCCAAAGAGTTTATTTAAGGCACAAGCACAATGAAATTAACAGGTACAGTTCAGTCCGGGGGGCTGGTTCACTGGGGTCCGAGCAGGGAAAGGGTGATGGTTGGTTTCAGAGTTCATGAGGGGCTAAGCCTCTAGCTGTTAGCTTAGCAAAGCTAAGTAAGATCTGAGCTACCAGCTCAACTCAGAGAACAACAGGGAAGACACGGGAAATCCACATGGGAACCTCTAGGGAAACTCCACATAGGGGTCGTCAGGTTTCAACCACGTAGGAATCTTAGGGTTGGCTCACCAGGGCAGCTTAGCAGGTTAGGTTTTCCAAGAGCTTCAGGCTTGAGACTGGTTTCCTGTGATGCAGCTCTCCCAGAGCTGCAGACCAGAGACAGGTTGCCAGGGAGACAGCTCTACCAGAGCTTCACGAAGGGACAGGAGGTTAAGCTCATCCAGAGCTTCACGAGGAAACAGGAGGTTAAGCTCATCCAGAGCTTTCACGAAGAGACAGGATCCCAACTAAGATCAACACTGCGGCGTGGGATCAAGGTCAGGCAGGAGCTTATAAAGGAGAGGTCTTCTAATGAGAGGATTAGGAACAGGTGTGCAGGAAAGTTCCAGCTCCAGAAGACCCACAGCCCATCCTGCTGGAGACAGAGGGTAATCTCCAGATCCCCACAGTAACTCCAAACCTAAGGGAAAAACAAAGAGAGCAGAAGAGGATCCTCGGCGCCCTCTGGTGGGCAAGCCTGAGGATCCCAATAGTTTCGCTGCCAGCGGTACTGCAGACACAGCTGGATGTTTCAGTAAGAAGCACATAGGAACTGGTTCTGTTACGGATGAAGCAGGCTCACAATTAGCTTCTGGAATAGCCACAGGTTCAATGCTGATACGTTTCTATGTGGAGTGTTAACAAGCTGGGGCTGTAAAAAATCTGATTTCCTTAAAATACAAAACTGGATGCTTGCGGTGTGCTTGAAATTTAGCTGCATCCTTTAAAAAAAGGCGAGGATAAGGAAAGCTTAGCTTAGCTCTGTGGTCGGCAATCAGGTTTTTAACCTTCGCCTGTAAAAATGCAAACCCCAAGTGAGAAGTTTAGAGGTGCAAACAGAGAACAGTCCCACATACAGATGTTCTCTGGCGCAGTAAAAGCTAAAAAGCACGGGAGAAAGCAAAAACTTATTTTCCATGTAACCAGCCAGCAAGTCCTCTCCTTGGAAAACCATCAAAAATGTAGAAAAATGCTGCTTCTGCATGAGGAAAATACAGAACAGATCCATAAACTCACTCCTGCATTCCACCGTCATTTTCTGCTTATTTACCCATTCCCCCCCCCCCCCCCCCCTTTCTTTTGTATGCTTTCAGGGAAAAAAGTTTGAAATCCTTCCCGACGGTCTGCCCTCCGCTCGTAAACTAATCTACTACACAGGCTGTCCCACGCGCTCTCGCCACCTCCTGCAGCTGCTCAGCAACAGCCACCGGCTCTACATGAACCTGCAGCCGGTTCTCAAGCAAGTCCGCCGGCTGGAGGAAAACGAAGGTCATTTCACTCCCTTGTTGTTCATTTGGAATACAGTGCTAAGCAGAAGCATTCACAATAGGGCTGAAACAATTAATCGGATTAATCAATGGTTGAAATAATTGTCAACTAATTTAGTAATCGATTAATCGTTAAGTGGATTATAGCGATTGTAAAACAGGCCTTAAGGTGACAGAGCGACCCACTTAGAGCAGTAATTATACCTAAATGTTAAAAAAAAAGTTTTATTTTCACCTGGTTTGATTTTGTAAAAAGTCTTCTTTAAGGAACCTTTGGACCTGAGTGAATTTTCCACCTTCTTCAAATCAGACAAAATTGGTGTCAAACGTTTGTGCAGCAAAATTTTTCATTTGTGCCGCTATCGTTTTAAAGATATAAAGAGATGTTTCTAGAGGTCATCAAAGGTCAACCAGACCTGAGTTAATTGACACCTATTTCGTCTGATTTAAATAAGGTAGGGGGGGCTGGTTGACCTTTGATGACCTCTAGAAAAATTTCTTTATATCTTTAAAACGAAAGCGGCACAAATGTAAATTTTTGCTGCACAAATGTTTGACACTAATTTTGTCTAATTTGAATAAGGAGGTGGGGCTGGTTGACCTTTTGACCTTTACATTTTCATTAATATCTTCAAATCCAAAGCAGCACAAACGACAATGTTTGCTGCACAAACAGAGCTGAGTTAATTGACACCCATTTCATCTGATTTGAAGAAGGTGGGGGGGCCAGCTACACTCAGGTAACCTTTGGTTATCCAGTTATTAATCAATTAGTTGAAAAAAAATAAAAGTTTGGATTTGATTTATAATATACAAAATGGGGTGAAATATGCAGGTATATCTAAAAAATATATCTGAATATCACAAATAAACGAACAGTTTTTTACAACCTATTTTAGAAAGTGATTTGCTGATTAACTAAAAACACCTGCAAATGTTTTATAAGCCCCTAAATGAGTTCTCTGTGTGGCTCAGTAGGCATCACAGTTATGGAGAAGAACGTTGAGTTGCCAGATGACAGCATCCATAAGGAGGGGAAACCATGCTGGTTGGGCAAAGGGGCGGCGTCCAAGCATGTTTATGGAAAATTAAGTGGAGGGAAAATGTTTGGTCGGAGAACCAACAGAGATAAAAGCAGCCTTTTAGGATTGTGGAGTAATAATGGTTCAAGAATGGAGTGGACTGAGTCACTCATGAGCTAAAATGTTGCCTAATGGTCCAAAGTTATATTAGATTAGCATTTACTTTGGAAAATTAGGTCCCCAAAGTCTGGAGGAAGAGTGCGACAGTTTTGCGACACTCGTAGGCATTTTCCAGTAAAGTAAAATTGCTAAAGAAAACAGTAAAGATTAGAGCTCTTCAAGCTTCAGGTTTCCTGGAGATGCTGATTTCATTTATTATGAGCTGGTCAGTTTTCCAAAAACGTCAGAAGCTGGTTCAGTGACCTGCGTGCTGCTGCGTTTAAATGGCCAGCAAAATGACTGACTGAATCTATGGAGTCAAGGGAAGAGAAACACCTGAATGTACAATGCAGATGACTTGGAGCAGGATTGATTAAGGCCTCAGCAGAACCTCAGGCTGATCACCTCCATGACGCACTGATGCATCAACTGATGCAAAAGGAGCCCAATCAGTTACTGAGTGCCAGCAATAAACATCTCTGGAGCCTGAACATTTTGTTAAACGAACCTCACATTTTTTAATCTAATGTTATCAGAAACATTTTTAAGATACACAGACTTTAAAATAGTAATAATAATGTAATACTTTTATATAATGCAGGGATTTTGCCTTCTATTTAAGTGGCTGAAATTATAGTAATAGTACTGTTAGAAAGTTTGAAACTTTTAATGGTAGCAAACATATTTACAAAGCACTGCATCTTTGGTCCTGTTATGCATGAAGATTATGCACTACCAGTTATTTTGATCAGTTTGATTCCTCTTTTCTTAAGCTATCTTATCCCAGAGAAATATCTTAAAAATGTCTGTGTTGATACTTGTTCAGAGAAGAAGCAGTACCGGGAGTCGTACATCAGCGATGCTTTGGAGCTGGACATGGAGCAGCTGGACAAGCGATCCAGAGCCAGCGGCAGCAGTGCGGGCAGCATGTCCCACCACAATCGTCTGTCACGCCACTCCACAACCAGCCACGGAAGCTCACACACATCCGGCATTGAAACAGATAGCTTCAGGGCCCCCGGCCAGGCTCCTCACAGACCCCTACGGACCTGCAGCTCATCAACCACCAGCCATGGAAGCTCCCACACCTCCGGCATTGAAAGCAGCGGCAAAGAGCGCATCCTGGATGATGAAGGTAAGACTGTGGATCAAGTAAGGAGTCGTTTTTATACAGGATACATAAAAACAAATCAGAAAAGTGAAAAGGAGCATATTTATTGCTCTCAGAAAAGTTATGAATCGGTCATTGTCAGCGTTCCTCATATCGGAGTACAGTTAGTGAGTTTAGATTTTAGGTCCAGCTCTACTTATTCTGTGGTCCTTCTTCCTTAAAACACCATCAGAAGCTTATTAACAGCTAAACAGAGCAAAGATAAACCTTTCATTGCCGTTTCCTGATGGCACAGCTGTTAATTTATGGTCTTGATGACAGACAAGGCTGATTTATACTTCGAAATTAGCTCCCAGCCCCCTCCACAGACACTCCGCTGCAACTCTCCCAAATTGTAGCTGATCGCAGACAGTGCCGCATTACGGAAGCGTATTGCATTCACCAAAGAAAAAAACAATCTAACAGCTTATTTCATAATTACAAGATCAGTATCTCGTAATTACAAGATCTTTTCTCATAATTACGAGATATTATCTCGTAATTACGAGATCCTGATATCAATAATTTGAGATCTAATCTCATAATTATGAGATAAGATGTCATAGTTATGAGATAAAATGTAATATTTAACAGAGATCAGGAAGGACAGTCATTGAAACGTGAACAATGAGTGGGTATCTCATAATTACGAGATCTTTTCTCGTAATTCTGAGAAAAGATCTCGCAATTATGAGATACTGATCTGGTAATTATTTTTTTTTCTTTGGTGAATGCAATACGCTTCCATACCGCATACAGGAGGACGGCTTGTTTTGTTTTTATGACCGAATTGCGGAAAACGACTCGTGAAGTTGGACAAGCTAATACAGCGACGTGCGCGAGGATGCTGGGACCCTTTTTCCACCTGGATCCCCGCTATTTTTACCCGTCATGTTCCTCCGTGGTCGGACAAACTCGCCCCCGCTTTCTCACCGCCTAGACCCACAGGGGATAGCGCAGACCATGCTTCAATACTGAGCATAAATCAAAAATGTCTGCGTGAAGCTGTAAATATGGCTAGACAGGAAACAAACCAATAGAAATGTTGTCATGTCAGCTGAAGAAAGAGGTTTCACTGAATGTTTTTTTTTTCTTTTATGCTGTTTTACTTGCAGCTGGGGAGGCACCAAAAGGAACATTTGGGCTGATGTCAGTTTCCCATATCCAATGATTATAAATAGATTTTCCTTCTGATTTAACACCAGAAAAAGTCATCACACTGCTATTTTTTCTCCGCTGCTATGGTTGAACCCTGGGCTGCATCGCCATCACTGTCACGCAAAAACCAACCAGCGTTTAAAAAAACAGCAATGAAAAGTGTTGTTAATATGCACCCAGTTTTACTCATGGGACCAGTAATGACTGACTGATAATTGGGTCATATTCAACATTTAACTCTATTCACTTATTTATGAATATACTTTTCATTTCTTATGATGGTCTTTAGTTTTTTCATTATTGTTTTGCTTTTCTTTGGTGTGGGGTACAGTATTTAACATAATGCTGTATATGTAATGATCTCAGAATGTTGGACCCAGAATTCAAGGCGAGACAGGCAGTGGGAAAGTTCAAAGCGTTAATTAACAAACAGGAGCGCGGGGCTGCTCATCTGCTGCGGGGCGGATCTCTGCAGGGATGGGAGAATACAGGTCAGTGACTGGATGAGGAGCAAAATACGACTTGGAGCAAAGTCACTGACCTCATTCACAGATCAGTCCATTCGTGGAGAACACAGCAGAATCCAGGAGGGAGGTTTGACCACAGTAGCGGCGGGCGACGGCCCCAGAGTTCCTAGAGAGCGAGCAGAGCGGGCGCCAGCCGACGCCGAGCAGCAACAGAGTCCAGAAGGGAAATCCAAGGCCGAAGTCAGGAGACAGCTCCAGTTACAGAAGCCGGTAGAATCCAAGATCAGATCAGACAAACAGAGCAGACAGGGGCAAGGAGAAACTCGAGATCCTCAGGGCAGAAACTGGTCAAAATCAGGAAAACAGACAGACTACAGATTGCTAGGGAACGTCTCACAAAAACACACAAATAACTTGGCACTGATGGGAGGCAAACACACAACCTAAATAGTAGAGGAACCAGGTGGAAATGATCGGCGATAATCAGCCACAGAACCAATTAGACAGCTGAGCAAGGAGCAAAGGAAAAAACCAAACCATCAGCGCCAAGATCATGACATTATAAAATAGAAATCTAAGCCTGAGGTTTTGCGGTGGGGATCTTAGCATATTCTTTTAGCGATTCTGTTCTTCTTCTACAGAGATTGAGATGCTGGTAGATGACCCCAAAGACTACGAGGAGCTTCACGAGATGGCTTTGGATCAGGAACTATGCATCCACATCACAGAGGACATGCTGACCATGTCACCAGATCAGACCAATGGATATTCAGGTACAGCCTTCCCTACTCAGCCTCTACAGCCTATACAACCACCAGACTAATTATAAAAGCAACAACTTTTCTGCAGGAAAGGAAATTTGTGTTTTGTTTCCAGCTCAAGATGATTTACTCTGAAAATATTGTTTTCTGCTTCCTTTCAAGGTCTGATAGTAAAAGACATTAGTTCGTCCACTTCCAGCTCCTCAGAAACTGTTGTCAAGATGAGAGGACAGAGCATTGAGTCGCTGCCACAGGTAACTCCAACCTACTCTAACGATATGCTCCCAGTCCAATGTTTCTATGTACCAGTCATTCAGTGCATCATGATGGACACAGTTGGTTCTGGTATGGCAGATTTAGGCTACATCAATTATCTGCATAGAATAAGTTTAATGTTGATGACATAGCATGGATATGATGTAATTTTGCATTAAAATAGAAAACACACAGCAGGGAAGCACAGCTGGCTATGCCTCTGGTTCAGACACTATAACCTGTTATTAGTTTATAACATATAAATTAGTATATAATACTTGAAATGAATCTAATTACAAATAAATCCTCCATCGCTATTACAAGAAATTATCTACTATATTCTTAAAGGAGTAGCTAGTAACTCCACCCATCCTTCAAAGGCATCATAGTGTTGCATCACAAACATTCAGTACTATTCCAGAGCTGATTGATGATAGTTGGACTGCATGCGAGTTTCTGTGACATTAATCTGATGATCAGACTGATCTGGTGGTATTACATATACCCCATTTACACTAGCCTTGAAAAACTGTGCCGAGCTCAGTAACTGAGATAACTAATGGTGTGTAAATGGAAAGCAAACTGAACTGAACCGAGCTAGACACAACCGGACCGAGCTAACTGCAGACCAGTTCCAGAGGTGGGCTCGGTTCGGTTTTTCCCTGGATCGGTTCTCTGATAACAAGAGCGCATGAGCAGAACGCGTCATGTCCGTCTGGCTGCACATCGCGATTCACACTCCATTCCAGTAGTTGGTGTTGCTTATCAACCAACACAAAACAGAAGAAGAACAACAACTATAAACAACAATCAAAATCTTCTCCACGCATCATTTTAAATAATGGCTTCAAAAGATCGTGGCGCGACCTGGAATGACGCCGAGACTGAGGCCGCAAACAACTCTTAGTGCATAACCGCCACCAACTGCTGGATTTCCTCCTTCAATGCTGGCAGTAATACCGCAGATCGTCACTAGGAGGCGAGGAGTCGAGGAACCGAGATAGCGTGACGTGTAAACGGTCATCAGAACCGAGCTCGGCCTGGTTAACTGATCCGAGCTCGGACCGGTCTCTGCATGGATCGGTTTTTCAAGGGTAGTGGAAATGGGGTAATAGGTAACCTCCCTCCCTCCCTCCCTCCCTCCCTCCCTCCCTCCCTCCCTCCCTCCCTCCCTCCCTCCCTCCCTCCCTCCCTTGTTACCTTCCTGATTTTTCTTCTTGTATATTTTCTTCCTAAATGTTTTAAATCGAAGGAGCCCCCTTGTGGTAAAGCAGAACAGAAACAGTCGGCTCTGCTACATGCCGACCAAAACAGACTTTATTTACATTTTTTGGTAGTTTATCTTTATCTGTCATATTTACAGACAGCTACAAGCCGGAAGGCCCAGTCCTCCACAGACCGCCACAGCCAATCATTAGACGATGTCCGGCTCTACCAGAAGGACTGCCAGCAGTGGGCTGAACTCTGTCAGGACACCGCCCACAGCTACACTTTTGGCTGCACTCAGGAGCTGAGCGACAGCGAGGGGCACCAGGGCCTGTCCGATCAGCGCGGCGGCGGGCTCGGCGAACAGCAACCCTTCCCCATCAAGAGGACGAACAAGTACTTCTCCCTGGACCTGACCAACGACGAGCTGCCAGAGTTTGTGGTGTGACGGAGGCAGACAGAGACGTTTGCTCCTCCGGGTCGATTGTGGAAAACGTAGAGACCCTTAATGGAGCGAGGAGGGAGAGAAGAGTTTCAGAGGTGGTCTGTAACAGTCACCCTTCTAGGGAACTGGACATAAGAAGGGATGACCTCACCCACTACCTGACAATGAGCGGCAGGTGAGGAGGATTCTGACTGAAATGTGACATTTTGATAAAGACCAGAGGTGCTGGAGTGAGCTTCTTCAGATTTGGCCCAAACTTCCCCACGGTCATAAAAGGGATCCTGCCATCTTTTTTATTTCAGTTTTCAGCAGCTTTATAAAGTCAGACAAAGACTGGCAGTACAAAAAAAAAACAACAAAAAGACTCTGTGGAGAAATAATAAATAAACGCCATCTGAACAGGCTAGCATGGCAGTTTTTACGTCCTCCATACCTCCTGCATTGCGAGATAGAGCTGCGATCATCTCTCTCTCCCCTCCTGGAACACTCACATCACAGGAAGTAAACCGATGTGAACACATCGCCGCTGTGCCTTTCTAACACTATGCAGGCGTCAAACCCTCGCCTTGACAATCACACCCCCTCACCTTACGTAACTCCCAACATTTAGGTCTTTTACGTACATTTATGGCAGCAAACCAAGCTGGCTCTTAAGCTTTTTCACACCATGTGACGACCTCACAGGATTGCTTTATCTGTCCTGGGAAATTTGGCCACAGGAATGAGCCTAAGCTCCTACGTGTCCCTACATGAGCCGAGTCTGTGGCCAAAAAAAGATTCTGTATAATCGGGAGTCAAAGTGAAGCTGTCAGCCAAAAGACAAAAAAAACAAACCATGCATGTCAATGCTTCACGTCTTCCTTCTAGCCTTGTCTCAGCAAGGATTCTTTTTAAAATCTGTTGCAATGTTTTTCTGTTCCATCCTCCAACCAGACAGCAACGTTTTCTTTAGATGTATTTTTATATGAAAAAATATTGTATTTGTTTAGATATTCTGCTGCGAGCGGCTGTCTTTCAGTATTATGAACAAATGTCAGTGGCAGTGTTAAAAGATGAGGAGTTATTCTAACCAGAGGCACTGGTTTTATCTGGTTTTATCTGGTTTTATCTTTTGAATCTCCCAGTCAGAGTCCAGACAACCTGAGGTTTTGTTTTTACAGTTGACATGTTGATCCTCTGCAGGTGGTGCAGGTAAACCTGGAGCACTGTTACAGATTAAATGAACAAACAAAACGGTGCCACAGTTTAGGCTTTAATTTAACATTTTTCATCCTTTTCAAACGTTTTTCCTGCCATAAAATGTAATTTGACTCTTATAAAAGTCTACAAAAAGTGATTTATTAGAAATAGAAGACTGAAACACCTCCAGTAAGTTGTGTCAGGATGCAGGTCATGTGAGTTTCTCACGGTAAGGTTAACATTTAAAGCCTGTATTTATTGCTATTTTGATGATCAGATCTAAAATGAAATGAGCTTCTGTTAGCATCTTAGCTGCAGCAGGTAACTCTTGCTTTTATATTCGTCCAAACCAGAGATTCAAACTCAGTTTTAGTGCAGGAGACTGAATCCCAAAACGGATTTCCAGCCTGAAAAGTAATGAAGCAGTTTATGTAAACTGTACTTTATGAGGCTTTAAGCCACTGGTTGCTTTTTGAGCAGAGAAGGTGATGAAGGTTTACTCTGGAGAACGAGGTAGGAAACTGAGCATCACCAGTTAAGATTCCTGTGAGAAACATGATATGGGACCTTCAAGCTATTTTTTCCTTTTATATCAGTTGCTTAGACAAAAGGCACACTTGGTTCTGTTCTCTATAGATGTTTTACCAATAAGTTTTATCATTGCTGACGCACAGCTTCCTACCTCCACATCCTGTTTGTTAATCATCTGATTCTCTTCCTAAAATCCCATTAGAAAAGTGACCAATCATCACAAACCAGAGCTCACATAACTAACTGTTGTGCATCTATTCAGACAGGTTCAAGATATTTGTCATTTATTTCTATTCCGACTTTTATTAGCCACAAAAACTTGATAAGAATATGTCTCATTTTCACAAATATAAGTAGTGAAAGGCTATGGGTGCTTCTGCGTTAATTGAATATAAAACATTTAAATTGTTTATCATTTTTAACAAGCATTTTTATGAGAGTCTATAATGACAACAGCCATTTTGGTTGCTAAACTCGAGGCTAAAAGCTAACAGCAGTGGAGGAACTGACTCATTCTTTGGAATACTTCCTGTTGATAAAATAAGAGAATACAAAAAGAAAACACCATATAAAGTTTAAGAAGAGAATGATAGTTATCTTCTGTTAAAAGATATGATCAGCTTTAATCAAAACCGTACTGAAAGAAAGTTCTTTCTTATAAGGAAATAGATAGAGCAACACCCAGGATAGGTTTTTGTTGTAAAAAATATCCAAGCTTTTTTTAAATCGCTCTGCTTTATTGAGAATAACAAAGAGGCTTAAATGGGCTGGATAGATAGACTGATTGTCGTTGGATCCATAGTAACAGAGATCCTGCTTTTCATTTGATAACCACACTTTAAAAAAGAAGTCTTATAAGGTGTCGGGTGTGGCCTGCAAGTTTTTTTGTTTGTGACAAGATTATTTCAACTCTGCTAAAGTTAGCTTTCTTGGAAGGAAGTCAAAGATGCTTTCATCCAGCCAGCAGACCAACGACTCACAGCAATAGGTAGGGGAGGGGCAGCAGTTGGTTAATTATGTCATACAGAGAATAATTTCCTTTTTGGGGTTTTGTTTGGCATTGCAATAAAAGGCGTTTAAGCGTAGGAACGGCGTAAAAGAACATTTTAGTCGGTTCCTTACTAACTTTGGCATACGTCCAGCTGATCCGTGCCCAGGCCTGCCTCACCTTTCAGTCGACCATAAAGCTCAGACAGGAAAGGGTTACCCAGTCAGTAAGCACAGGTTGCACCTTTCTATCATGTCTTTTAAAACACCTCTTCTCTTTTTTCTTATATTCACACCAATAATGGATAATTCCACAACTGATCACCAAAACACACTTTTCTGTTGTTTTTTTTAACCCTAAACAGACCTTGACAACGTTGTTCAACCTTTTCAAGTGTTATAGAGACAAGCTCCGCTCAGCGATTCCACTTTATGCTCAGGAACTGACTGGTCAGTTCAAAAGGCTTAAATCACACATTTCTCCTCTCTTGGTTTCATCTGTCTGCACATCTTATCTTTAACAGCCTTTATAATCTTTAAATACAACTTAGTGAATATGCTGAAACTGATAATTTTCCTCTTTCCAGATGTTTCGCCATGTTTTCAGCCTCTGCTTAGATATGCTAACAAACACTTTTATCTTACAAACGTCTGAAACTGTCTTTACACACAGATCAGTTTTATTGTTAATTAACTTTTTTTTTTCATTTTGGTCGACTGACATTTATTATCCATGTGCTTTAAATGTCAGCAACAAATGACTAAGCTTCTCTACAGCTTATTTGGTCATTTGTAAATGTTACAACATCTTTAATTAGATACTCATTTGAATAATGGATAATGCTATTAAATAAAAAGGAGCTTTTTATATCTTGTCCTTTTTTAGAACAGTTATTCATGAACAGAAGGTGTCATTTTTTGAATCAGCACTCAGGATCAAATGCAAATGTTTAGGTACACAGCCATGCAGGCGTAGCCCTGCCAGAATCTCTTCACGATTTACTTCTCTGGCTTTAGTAAACGGTCCTACTTACGCTTTGTAAGAGTCTTTTTGACCCTTAATCCTTTCTGTGAAAGGATCTTTCTGCAGGAAAAGGAGTTTGTTTTTTGTTTTGTCACCCTATTGGTCAAAATGTTTGTTATAATAAATCTGCTCTGTGCCTTTTTGGTACTAATGTTCCTCTCATCCAATAAACAGGTACATTTATCCTACCGGGTTGCTCCTGTCGTCTGTTATTTGCATTGTTACACTGTTGATTTCCAGGTTCATCCAAATCAATTAGGAAGCAATTAAACTTGTGATTTATTTGCAATAACTAAGATGAAAATTATTCCAAGTTATACCTTGGTATTTATTACACAGACATGAACACTGGATTTCATAAAGAAGACTACAGAAGATCCTTCGTGCCTTCAACGTTCAACACCCACAACTTGCTGAAAGAACCGTATTATTTATTACATTTCATTTTCCTTTGGGATTAATACTTTATTTTTGATTTGAATTGGAAAGTGACATATTTGAAAGGTTTATTACTGCTAACTGATGAATTAATCGTATGAAAATGTCAATATTAAAAAATGATCAATTATGCAATCATACAATCAGAAAAAAAGGATTATTTTACATAGCAGACAGTCAATAACATAAGTTGCTATTTCCAAGCATAATATCAACATTTAGTGGACAAAAATGTGATTGATAGATGTTTAGCAGCACCGTGTTATTAACATGCACGGATGTATCCAAGACACAGCTCTCACATTGCTGGTGTTGAACTGCTCTTCAACGAGCCGTAAAGTTAGGATGGGAAAAGGGAAAAAAACGCTTTATTTTTTAGGCAAAAGCATTTTTATTTGGTAATCAAGGTCTCAGTGACAGGACAAGTATTGACTAAAGCAACCTGTGTTTCCTTAAAACCTTGCAGATCGACAGACTGATCGGCTCCATGTACTAAACAGTGCATGGAGAAAACTTCCAGTCTATTTGCAGCTCTCTATTAAAACACTTATTTTGAAAGCTTTTATCATTCTTCTAGTTAAACTTATGTAAAGCATTTGATACCATTGATCATGCACGACTATTAGGTAAATGTGAACTGTATGGCCTATGGGGGGGTTACATACCAGTGGTTAAAAAGTTATCTAAGTAATAGATTACAATATATGCAAATCAATAACACAAAGTAACAAACAGGCATAGTAAAATTTGGTCTTCCTCAAGGCTCAGTCCTAGGACCTAAATTATTTATACTTTATTTAAATGATATTTTTGCAGTATCCAGTAATTGAAAGTTTATAATGTTTGCTGATGATACAAATCTATTTTTTTCTTGGAAAAATTTGGTTGAAATAATAAAAACGATAGAAAAAAAGTTAGCTGAGTTGAAAACATGGTTTGATTATAATAAGTTGCCGTTAAAAGAAGGGAAAACTAAATTTATGGTATTCTCTGGTAATCGGGTCTATAACGATGTGGAGCAAGGGCGTAGGAATATGTTTACAATTGGGGGGGACATGTCGGAAATCTGAGATTCGTTAATATTCAACAGAAACATGTCTTAAGTACGCTACTTTAAAAAAAAAAGGCTATTTTATTCCTTTATAAATGTGTCTTGCAAAAATAATGCATTTAAAATTTACATAATGCATTTGTTCATAAGATGTGAGCATATCACCAAACAAAATGACTGGAGTCTTTTATAAAGCAAAGGGAGATGTCTTTCAAGGGCTTCAGCCCTTGGCATATTTAGTGTCTGCATACGCACTAGAAAATCAAAACAATTCAGTAGGCCACACAAGTGCAAAGTTTGATATGTTTTATTTTGTCAAACTTGCAATAATGGTCAAAAATGAATTTATATAGGTTGACTGACAGAGGGAGCTGACAGTGTGTTGAAGAATTATGGACAGGGCGCTTTGAAGCATCTGGTTCAAAAACGAATTATCAACCTTTGGTAGAAATCCATCCATCCTTCCATTTTCTGTACACCCTGTCCCTTAGTGGGGTCGGGAGGTGCTGGTGCGGGGTCCACCCTAGACAGGTCGCCAGTCTGTCCAGACCTTTGGTAGAAATGGCGCCTTTAATTCCAATTTGCATTACAGAACAGAGAAAACTACAGAGTTGTCAATGTTGTGTTAATCTGTTTATAGTCTAAAAAGAGGAGCCAGCAGTTTATTTGAGGAAATAAAGGTGCAGAAGTTAATTAGTTGGTTAATTAGTGGTTGCACAACCAATGCGACCGCCGCTGCTAAGAATT